TGTGTTATTAGTAGGTGGTATCAGGTTGAAGAGGCAGGCCACTAGGGGCTGACCTGGAAAGTAAACTTCACTCCCTGGCTCCTCCTTCCTTTGCTGCTTCCTGGCCACCACAATGAAACTAGCTTTCCTCCTCTAGATCCTTCCACCATACCATTTCTGCTGTGGAGTCAGTCAACCATGCACTGAAAAATGTAAGCTAAAATAAATCTGTTGTCCTTTAAGTTGTGGGTGTTGGGTACTTTGTCCCAGTGAGGAGAAAGTGACAAAGATAGTGACATTACAGATGTAAGCAAAGATGAATTGTTAAGTGGAAAACCAAAGAATAAGCAGGGTATACAATATGGTAGTTTTGTGACAAAAAAAAAAAATGGAGGAAAAATGTACCAGAATTTAATTAAAATGATTATACAATTGAGGGTGGGTGGGAATGAGACTTGTGCTTATTTTTATGTATATATTTGCATCATGTAAATACATGAAATTAAAATAAAATTTTAAAAATGAAGACAGCAAACCCCCAAATTGAATACACATAGAAACAAATGAATTTTTTTATCAAAGTTAAAATACAACTATGCACACATAAAAGATTGTCTCAAGTACCTGACTATATATGTACTCAGTACTCTGTATAGTTGAAATTTGATGTATTATAAAAACAAAGAGTAGCAAAGAAATGTTGAACTTCCCATTGCATTTTTACTTTTGGAGTTAAGATTTCAATAATTTAAAATAATTTATATCTACTATAAGATATCCCAAATGGTTAAATATATTACTATTCTATTGTTGGGAACCAGAGTAGGCCATACATACATGGGATGAGGAAAGCAAAGACAATCCTATGGTCTTGGGTTAAACTAGAGGGAAATATAAAGTTCATTAAAAAGTTATTGTTAAGTTGTAAAAGCTTTGAGTATATTACATGCCAATGGGAAGAAACTAGTTGATAAAGAAATATTAAAATATAAAAGAATGGGAATAATGGATAGAGCAAATTCCTAAGGCTGTAAGAAAGATGGAATCCTGCATTCAGTTGGAGTAATTATCCTTGAAAGGGAAAATGGAAATCTTCTCCACTGAGAAGGAGCTAAAAAAGACAGGGACAAACACAAATAAATGCATGGGTTCTGAGGACAGAAAGCTCAAGGACATTTTGAATAATGACTTTTGTTTTCTTTGTGAGGTGGGAAATAAGATCACCTGCTTAAGAGGGCTTGAAGGATAGGAGACTTCAGAAGAGTGGAGAAGGGCTGAAATACTCTATTGTTGAGAAACTTGCTGAGAGCAACATGAAATACTACCAGGCAGCACTGTTGATCTGGTTGAATTTGAAGACCATTAATTTGCATTAGACCAATGGATGTGATTTCATGATTTTTTTGGTGATGTTTTGAAGCCTTAGAATAGGAGAGATGTATGGATTGTCTAGGATTGGGGTTTTGCTGCTAGTCCAGAACAATGAAAAGAAGAGTGAGATAATGTTATTTAGAATATTGACCAGAAAATGCTGATATAATGAACTATGGATTCCTACGTGGAAAACAAAGGAAGTGAAGACAGGAATCACAAATAGGGAGAAAGTAGTCATTTAGTGGTTGGAAAACTCAGTGAATATGAATGGTGAATATGAACATGAATTAAGGAACACATTCTAAAGTGTTTGGTGAAATGGGAGAATTGTCTATGGACCCTGCGGGAGGATAGAATGTGATATGGCTGGAAAATATGACTCTTCAAAGAGGGGATTTCACATGAGGATTGGTGGTGATTTGGATTGGTTTGAAGCACTACTAGGTAAAGAGGAGCTAGGCTCTCCTTCTTTTTATTGAGGTACCAATGGCATTGAGAGCTGCTTTCTCCACTTGAGATTTCTAGGCTCCCAGTGTCCAGGGATATATTGAAGTTTAATTAAGACAAGAAGATAGATTGAGTTCAAAGGAAAGGCCAGGGATTAAGGGCTCCAGGAAGCATAATGAAAATATTCAGAACGAGAGGATAATTATAAGTTAAGGTCAGGAGAAGGAAGTAAAATGCACTCTTCTAATTTGGTTGCTTTGAAAGTGAATCATGATAGGCTAGTTCATGTTCTTCAACTATGTATCTCTTAAACAACTGTTAGAGGAGCAAAAACTAAACCGCTACGATTTCATAGTACCATGTCCATTTTGACATGTATCCTTTTATGAAAAGTTTACTGCAAAATAAAATTTTATTTTCACATAAAAACACATTTAAAGGAAGCAAAGACTATAAAACTTACTTGGAACATTAAATGAAATTCAAAGTAAAACCTAAGTCAATTATAGTTTCTAAAGTACTATCAATGAGGATATGTGAGTTTATTTCAACATTATCATGGTCAATGAAATTAAATGGACACTGAATTGAGAAAATTGATTTCCAAAAAGTGATTCATGAATTTGGAACTCAATCTTATAGTACAAAATGTCCTAAAATGCTCAGTAATTTCTAAAGATACAACTAGGAAACTCCAAAGTAAGTAAGTCTCTAAGCAACTATAGAGTTTTTAAAAATAAAAAAGTAATGAAACTGCTGATGGAAATTATTGAGGCAAAACAAACATTTAAATGATGTATTGTACTGCATAGGTCATATTAGAGAAACAAATTATTCTTTTATGGCACATACTTTGTGTCAGATATATACATAGATACCTTTCCAATTATATACATGTATGTATATATATCCCACATATATATATATATATGTTTGTTTGTTTGTCAGAAGCACACAGCTGTGGCAGACAAGAATCCTCACAGAGATTAGAAAAGAGACAGTACTTATCCTTTGAAAAGAGGATTTAAAAGCTCTTTACAAACATTTACCTTTAGTATCATCTCTACATGATAGAAATATCAAATAATTGGCATTTTTAAATCCAAAGCTTTTTTAATGCTTTAGGACTACATGGAAATTTTCTCTTTATTAAACAAGTCATTTCCTTGAAAGGATAAATATCATTATACCCAATAAACCCTATAAAATATTTATAACTTTCAAATGCACATATAAAGATATAAAAGATTCTTTAAGTTTAAATATTTTTTGTAGCTTTGCATAAACAGATTCTGTTATCAATCTCATTAGTGATACTTGTCTACTTTTTTCCACTTTATTCATTAATAAATATTTTGGGGGGTACCTAATCTGCAGGAAGCATTATTCTGTGAAATAGGTGGGAACACCATCTTGAACACTGTAGAACAAGAAGGTAATGCAAGGCTTTTGTGGAAGACTGTACCTCTGAATTCCTGATCCATATACACTGTCCTCATAGACATGGCCTCTTGAAGAATCCCAGGCTCCTCAAATTTACTTTGACTCAAGCGAATTCAGTGTCCCTTCTACCAGCCAAATTTGATTTTCTCCTTGTATTCTTCTCTCACCAGTGAGAAAGTCCTCCTGAATGTAAACCTGATCATAGCACACCCTGATGAAACACTCCAGGGCTCTCATGCCCAAAACAGTATTTCAAAAAGATCTTCGAATGCACTGATCAAGGAGTTATGAACAGTCTGGAGAGAAGAGAGCACAAGCTGGAATGATGGCTACAACTCTGGTATTTTTCAGAATATTTTGTGTGAAATCTCCAGTATAGATTAATATTTTTCTTATTAATCTATACTGGATTTAAATTTTTTTCCATGATTTAACATTTTTTTCACCGACCTAGTAGGATTTCCCCTCAGCTCTTTGAATATAAGGTAAAGTCATCTTTTTAAAAAAAAATGCAATAGTGCAAAAGTCACTTATTTTTTCATTAGAATTCAAAATAAAATTCAGCCGAATTTCTTGAGAACCAAGGTATTTGATGATAGAGCTGAAGATGACAGCTATCAGCTCTTCAGCCCACCCACCCTGTTTCCTTCCAACCTCCTCCAACCTTCCTTAGCTGCTGAATGTCAGCTCTCCTCCTTCCTTCCAAACCCTTGCCAATCTTTGTTCTGTTGAATACACACTGCAAATATTTTTGAAGCACGGCTCAGCCATTCGTGGATCAAAATCCTTGGAACCTTCGGTGATATTGCAAGATACTGCTAAATTGAAATAATTAATGAGGAGCTCTCAGCCTGGATAGTGTTATGCTTAGCTACACAATCTCTACATTTCCATACTATGAACATCAAAGTACTATATATATACTCTAGGTGTACAGCCTGACATCCAGATGTCACTCTACATTCTGGGGTGCCCTGTGGCTTATACAAAATTGCACACAAAGGAGCATGGAGACAGGCCAAAGATGAGACTGTAACATATTCCAACTTCATTTTCATCTCTCAGCAACAACAGAACAGACAAACACCCAAAGAGGTTCAACTCCTTCCCCAGAACTATTCTTATTCAAATTATTTTTCTCCTCTTTGGCTTTTACACACTGCCTTACAATCTTAATGTCCCATCATTGCTGTACCAGCTACCAAAATGCTCCCTTCAGCTTGAGTTTCATGTGAATTTTTATGTCACTACTTCATTCTTTTTCTTTAAGAAGTCTCTATTAGCCTCATCATCCTTTCACCCTCCAGTTACCTTTACCTACTCCCCCTTCCCCCTATATTTTCAATTTTGTATTTAAGCAATTAACTTAGTAAATATCCTGTTTTAGTTGTAAGACTGGTGTCACTAGTGCCATTATGAGTTGAAGGGGGCTTAAAATTCTAGTGCCCATCATCATATTGGTTAATTGTTTGCTCCTTCACTGGACTGAGTATGGACTTGCCTGGGAACATGCCATAACTTACTTTTGAGCATGCAGCACACAACATGAGCCCGGTGTGTAGCAACAATTAATAATTGCTAAGTAAATGATGAAAATTATTATTTTCTATAAAGAACTCCCATTCATTAAAAAAGAGGGTGATTTAATCTGTAACATAACCAAGCCTACAAATAAATTTTAAGAGGCCTGTTGTGACTTTAAATCTTCTTATTTCTAGAAAATTTGTTGTGACAGTAATTGGCTAGAGGAGTCTTACCACTTAGTTTTTTTCTTCATTGCTGGTGAGGCATCACTTTTGTCTCTGCTATGTCTTCTCATACATTGTGCTGTGAACACAAGAAGGAAGTATGTTAGCTGATAATTTGCACAAACTTTGTGAAAAGTTTGAATGGTGAGTTTAACTCTAGCCACTTTTGGATTCTGAGTTTGGTCAAGGTCATAAAGTTTGTGTCAGGTAGGTAGGGCCATCCCAGGTTGCCACGGCTGCCCCACCGCAAGCACAGATGCCAAGGGTATGATTGTCACACTTCACTTCCTCCTGGGCTCTTCCTCCACCTTCAGCATAGCCTGCATGGACCTTTCCCCTTCCCTTTTTCTGCAGCTATAGCTCCTGCATAATGTATGTGATGGTGACTAGGAATAAAAGTGGATTCCTTGGGGAGAGGGATTCTATTTATCTCTCTCGCTCCTTTTTTTCTTTTGTTTTGTTATTGTGGTGCTGGGGTTGAACCTAGGGACTCATGCTAGGCAAATGACCTACCACTGAGCTGCAGCCTTAGCCTTTATATTTTCTTTTGAGACAGCCTCACTAAGTTGCCCAGGCTGCCCTAACTTGTAGTACTCTTGTCTCAGCCACTTGGGTAGCTGTGATTACCCAGGCATGTGCTACCATTCCCCTGTTTATTTCTCTTTATATCTCCAATCAATAGTCTAGTGCTTGGCCCACACCTGTCAGTAAATGTTTGTTGAGTGAAATATTAAGCTAAGTTTAATCTTACCTTCATGAAACAAATAACACTAAACACATAGAAATTGGTATATATAAGAACAGAGGTGGGGCTACAGTAAAATGGGAACAAAGAGGAGGAAGAGCTTAATGGTTGGTATGGAAAATGTTCTAAAACTTCTCATATTATATGCTCAAGTTCAACAGCAGCTCTCATAATATATTTATATGCCAAAATTTTGATTGCAGGTTGCTGTTCACAGAGGGAAACTAAAATTGGAGAGAAACTACATGGGTTTTTATATGAAGGAAGAATATAGTTTTTAACAACATACTTACAGGAAAAACCAAACCCAAAACACCGAAAGCGGCCTCTGTTCTCCTCCAGCACTGGGTGGAGGTTGTTTAACTAAATGAGGTTCTCAAGCAGGTTATAATGGAGTAAAGGAAAAAGGACAAAAACAAGACACAGTGAGGTGACATATGAAAGGAAGAAAAATTATTAAACCCGAATAAAAGGAAGAAAAATGATGAAGGCTGAATGAAAGGAAAACAGGAAGAAAAATGATTAAACCTGACAACTCTTTTGTCCAGAAGAAATGCCTTTGCTTTTCACTCCAAGGCCTGCAAGTTACTTTTCAGAAGGTATTTAACCATATTAGAATGCATTAAAACAAAGGAAGCACTACTGTCTCAAGTTCTATTTTGTTTAAAATCCATTCTTTAGATCAGTAATCTCTTCCTTCTTTTATAACCTCTGGTGCATGGAACCTTGTCCTGGGAGAACTCCTGGGCCTTAGGTTAAGTCTCTGAGAAACACATAAACTATCCCAGTCCACTCAGGTGGCTTACAGCAGATTTTTCTATACCCAGCTAATCTGTAGCTTTTGGTGTTAGGAACCCTGTGTCATATTTGTCTGGTATTGACATAATCCAAGCTGAGTCAGGATGACAGAATACATGATTTTGATTTCTCTTTACCATGGTTAACTCTTAATAGTCCGTAATAGGAAACAACAGTTGAGAATTACTGTCTACTTTTAATAGACCCATATAATTAATGGTGCATGTAACGTATTAACCTCAATATTAAAAATAACATTTAATTCTTTACAAAAATATCATAGAGAAGAAAGTATATTAAGAGTCTTCCTAATTCTTGAAAGCATCCTTAGGCAAGAATTAAGACTTATCTGCAGGCTTCAACCAGCTGTGCTGCTCTGGGATGCAGTGGCACTAGTTTTTCTCTTTCCGGCCTTTAGATGATGAAGTCTGGACTTAGACTGGATATAAAGAAGTTACATCACTTTTGCCTACCATCTTTAACACATGGTTCTTTAGTTCTTGGGAAAAATTTTCATAGTAAAGTTCACTGTTAAATTGAATGAATTGTCTGAAACCTGGTTGAGAATGGGAAAATGGATATTTTGGATAATTACATAGTCTGTTGAATTACTAATGCAACATATGTGGGCTGTTAAGTTCCAAGTAAGTAGAAACTAACATTTCTTTGGGGTCTTTGATGGTTACAGCTCAGGTTTCTTTGTCCAGACCTTACCAAACTGCTATCCCTTGAACATAACCTGCACTCTATGCCTCTTCTTTTTTTTTTTTTTGACACATGCCTCTCTCTCTCTCCATATTTTTTCTTTTCTTTTTGTTTGATTATCATCTCTTCTGGAACATCCTTAAATTCTTCACCAGAAGCTTTTTCAACTGCTTACTCTTTTATTTCCCATTATGGGTTTGATCTAGAGTAACCTCCTCCCACCTAAGCCTCACCTGTTCAGAGGTGGGGATTTTGGAAGGTTATTGAATTGTGGGGGGTTATTCTCATCAGTGGGTTAATTCATTGAAGAGTTCAGAGCTGAATGTGCCGTTAGTATGTGGGGCCTGGTCAGGAGAAGTGGATAACTGGGGGTGTGACCTGGAAGGGTATATCTCCCTCTCTAGCTCCTCTCTTTTGTTTGTGCCTCCTGGCTGCCATGATGTGAGCAGCTTTCCTCTATTCAGGCCCTGCCGCAATGCCCTTCCTGACTTGGAGAAATTGAACTATGGACCGAATACTCTAAACACCTTAGTCACAAAAACCTCTTCTTTAAGTTGTGGGTGTCAGGTGTTGTGTCCTACTGAGGAGAAAGTGACTAAGACATCTCCCATATATTTTTTGTAATTATGTTTTATTATAGTAAAAGACACATAACATAGAATTTCCATTTTAACGATTTTTTTTTTTTTGGTACCAGGGATCGAACTCAGGACCTTGTGCTTGCAAGGCAAGCGTCGGAACCACTGAGCTAAATCCCTGGCCCCATTTTAACAGTTTTAAACGTGTGATTAAGTGACATTAAGCATACTCACATTGTGTGCAAAAACTACCACCATCTATCAGCAGCAGGTTTTTCATCTTCTTAAACTATAATTCTGAAACTATGAAATGGTAACTCTCCAATAATCTTTCTCTTTGCTCCTGGAAACCACTATACTTTATGTCTCTTTGTATTCTACTACTCTAGATACTTCATATTAGTGGAAATATAGAGTATTTGTCTCTCTTTGTGGCTGGCATATTTCCTTTAACTTATTGTTTTCAAAATCTATCCATGTTGGAGCATGTATGAGAAATTTCTTCATTTTAACATTTCACTCTATGTCCCATACTTTGTTTATCCATTCATCTCTGAATGTACATGTGTTGTTTCTATCTTTCAGTTATTATACATAAGTTGGAACATTAGTGGACAAATACCTGTTCAAGAAGAGAGTAAGAAGGAAGGTATGTTATTTGCTGTAGCTGTCAACTTCTCTTGAATTTCCCTACCTTCATGCATCTTATAATCTAGGAAGAAATGCAATAATAAAAGAATAAACCAAAAAATAACCAACACTTACTCATTTTGTAAGTAAGATGATGTGTGCATGACATAATTGGTTAATCAGTTCTCAAAAAGAAGAGAGAATTGGGGAGAAGAAAATAAGCATGATACTTCTACACATAAAAGGAGTGAAGGAATAATTATTGTAAGATACTGGGGAAGAACCTTCCAAACAAAGGGAGTAACAAATGCAAAGGCCTTAATGCAAATGTCTATGGCCTCCTGGAGGGGTATTTCTGGTTGGGATGGAGACAAAAGAGGAGAAAGACCCACAATGAGGTTGGAGAGGCTGGAGACAGATCACAAATGGCTAAGGAGGTCAGTGGTAGTTATTGGGATTTTATTCAAAGTGAAATGAAAATCCTTTTATTAGTTCTAAGAAGAAAGGATTAATTAGATTTTTTAGATGGATTTTTTTCTGGCTGTGTTTAGAGAGTGGATTAGTTGAAAGCTGTTGATAAAGTGAGAGTGCAGTAAAGAAGATTCTGACATCCCACTTGTGAGACAGAGAGAAATAGGCAGATTTGAGACCATTTGAAAAGGTAAACAGAGAAGTTGATGATGGATTAGATGTAAGAGGTTAGGGTGTGGAAGTGTCCTTTATAAATAACTTGAGGAAGGGAAAGATAAAAGACACTACATTCTTTTTGGAGGTTCTGTGCTACCAGTCCTGGACTAGGCATGAATGATGTAAAAGAGGTAGATGACTTCTCAGTAAGTCATACCAAAAAATCGTATTTTGGCTCTTTTGTCATTTTAATGAAGTATAATGAAACTGAAAATAGTAGTCAAGGTCTTTCAGCTCTCCCAAAGTATGTAGTTCAGAAGGAAATTTTTATGACAAGGTTTGTTTTGTTTCCTTCATATATAGAAATTTACACTGGTGTAGCTCCAAGACTTGCAAACTCTAATAACCAGAGTTTATAAGGTGTTAACTAATGGTGTATTTGGGGTGGAGAGTATACATGTAAAGAGCAAAGATCCAAGTTGGTGGATTAGGGAAGTTGATGGATTAGGTAAGTGGTGGAAGTCTCTGAAGGAAATACAAGACTCAGATAATCAGACAGGAAAAACCCTAGGCTCTGACAAGTATGGGCAGCTAGAAAACCACAATACCTGTCTGGATGGTTGCATGTGAAGCAGACAGGAAACTCTGCTCCGCGCTAGATTAGTGGAGAGCCAGGAGGAACAGGTATGGGTGCTATCACAGTTTTGGGTACTTGATAATTTACAAAGTGCTTTTTCTTGATTCATATTTTTTAGTTCTTATCATGAAATAGGTAAGGCAGCAGTACTATTCCACTGTTTTACAGACTAGAGATGGGGTGTTGCAATAGTGATACAGATGATTTTAAAATAAAAGGACTATATTAATTTCACTTAAAATGGAAAACTATGTCAAGGTTGGGCTCGAGAGGAGTGGCCATATTTATTTTTAAAGCCATGTAGAATATCTTACCTTGCACCCTCAGAACTACTTGGATATCAAGAAGCCAGGGATCAA